ACCCAACAAGAGGGATGTTAAGAATTCTGAATCTGCATGTACTAGGCTAGACAAACAAGCCAATTGCACGCTTATTAACTTGTTTAAAAGCATGTTCAAAAGTAATCAACAAGTCGTTCATTATCAAACTTCTAATTTCCTTGATAGTATTAGTAGAGGAAAGATTCCAGGAATACTTCTTTTGAAAAAGGCGTTGTCTGTAACATTTTAATTTAATTTTTAAAATTAATTAGAATTAATAAAAAATAGAAAGAATATTTGAAGATAAATAAATTAATTAGAAGATTTTTCAGTTTAACAAACAATATAATTTTATGTTAAGATATGTTTTTAAAAAATAAAATTAAAAAAAAGGAGTTAAGGTCTGTTAGCTTAATTGTTAAGTTATAACATAATAATAATAACAACAATGAATGAGAAGAAGAGGCAGGGAGGGGGGGGGGGGGAGGGGGGAGGAGGGGGGGGAGTTGAAGGAATTTTAAGTTAAGATTTTATGTTCAAAATTATTTTATTTTTTAAAATTTTTTTATAAATATTTTTCTACTCATCTAAAGTTTCTAATGATAATAAAATTTTGATAGGTAAAACAAATCTTAAAGTTCAAACTTAAAGTAAGTATTAACTTTTAAAAATGAAAACTATTAATCAATAAAGATAAATTAGTACTTAAATTTTATTAGTTTAGATTTGTTCTATTAATTAGTTTGAGAGTTTAAAATTAAGTTTTTAGTTATAAAATTTGTGATTTCTATGTATAAGATATCTATATTGAATAAATTATGTTTTTGGAATTTAGATAAGTTAATTTAATTTTATTTTAAATTTTTATTGGAGGAATTTAAATTGAAAGGATATGGTTATAAATTTAAAAAAATTTAGTTAAAGTTTATATTTAATTGATAAATTACAACACACACACGCATGCACACACACAATATATATATATATATATATCTAATGGTACTTATATCATTTGATGTTATAGATTAATATATTATTGTAGCTAAAAATTTTTCTACATGTTTGAGTTAGTTATAGCTTGAGAAAGGGTAACATTAAAATATCCTTTTATATATTGAAATATTAGTTTTATTATTGCGTGTGTGTGTATATGAATATATTAATACTTGTGTGATCTTATTATGGAATGTAACATTTATTTATATGATGCAAAAAAGATAATAAAGATGGCTAATAATATGATTATTTGTTTGGAATTGATAATTGAATATTTATACTGTGTGATTTATCTCCATTGTGCACGCAATGGTTGGTATTTTTCTTACAGTTCCCAATGTTTTTGATATTTTAGGATGATTGGCACCTCCTTTTTAAGGAGTTAAGTCATATTTTGATGGCAATATACTTTAATTGGGTATAACCTCAGTTTAGGCTCCAGCTAGTGATAATAAGAGAATTGAGAGTAATGAAGGTGAGGTTGAAAAATGTATTACTATTGTTTTAATTTAATATTGATTTAAAAATTGTTATATAACTGTGAATATTGCATTTCTTGTTTTGTGTATTGGTTGTGAAATACATATGTATATTTATATATATGTTGCAAACTAGTTTAAAAGTATATTGGTATATGTTAGAATAATCAACTGTTACTGAGATTTTAATCTCACATATTACTTCTTATTATTTTTAGGTGAGTAATCAAGTGTATAGAGAAGGCACTGAAGAAGTGAGCTTGGCTCCCTTTTTTGACTTAACATGTGGGTTTCTATTTATTTTGTAATTATAGTTGCTATGACCTAGAGAACTTTATAAATTTTATTTTAAATAATTGTTATAAGTTATTCAATAGTAACTACTTAATCTTTTTGTTTGAGTTAAATAACTTTTAAACATGTAATCTTTACCATAATTTTCTATTAGGCCAAGCTCATTTATTTTGAATTATACATATTAATGGTATAAAAAATGTGTGTTAATAAGATTGATTATATTATAAACTGTTGTTGAATTCTATACTTACTACAAATTTTTATTAAGCTTCATCTGCTTAGACTCAACAATGATTGTTAATTTTAATGTTGTTTTGTTTGGATAGATATATTGTTTTAAAAAATATTTATTTATCAAAAAATTATGATAAAATCAGTCCGTTATGTTGTCGAGTCATTATTGATGCTGACTTCATAGCACCTTGTCTCAACATTCAACAAAGTTTTATACTTTTTTCGGATGTCTAGAAGTTTCGCTGCAGGGTAAAGCAAGTATTCTGGCATGTCGCAAGGTGTCTTATCCACTACTTACGATCATCCTATAGAAGGCCTCCACAAGGCGGCAATCCTTTTGGAATGGACATTTCTTTGAATTTTATTAAGAATATTAATATTAATCTATGATTCCTACTAGAGGTTGTCCGTTACTCTTTGCATACATGTTAGGCAATATCACCCGCCATGAAATATATTTAACTTGTTTAGCTTTCTATAATCTATATGATGTCCTCACCCCCAATCTCCCTTTTCTCTCTTCATCCCATATCCACCTTTAATAATAATATGAATGGTCTAGATTTATTAATTATCATAATATTTAAAAATTTTAAATTATTAAAATTTGACCTTCACGGTTCACAATTATTTACTGTCATTAAAATTTTTAATAAATTATATTTTTGTTATAATTTTATTGCAGTTATAAACAATGCAAATTAAATTTTAACAAGCTAAAATTATTTATTTATTCATTTTAATATTATATTATAATAATTGTTTTTATAAAAACAATTGAATATGAACCATTCATCTTTCTATCCAAGGGTGGGGACTGAAGGAGGAAAAGATGAGAACGAAGGATGGGAGAGGATCTCCTTCCTTTTTCTCATGGCATTTATTTGTTTAGCTTTCACGCTTTTCTATCAGCGGTCCTCTAGCCACAGAGCCTTTGAAGAAGGAAAAAAGTGACCATTTAAAGGGTCGCAAGCGTCTGTGCGCACTGCACAACCTGAGAATTCAGCAAGCAGGTCACTGGTTACAGTACCGTAGGGGCAGGTTGGTCTCAGACCAATGACCATGATTGATGTTCTCAAAATATGCGTCGTTTATATTTTTATTAATTTTTTAATGAAAATTCTATCAGAATCATATAATCATTTAATAAAATTATAAAATTCTTAATTTTATTTTTAAAAAGAAAAAATTTAAGGATTTTTATTTTCAGGAATTAAAAAATCTAATTGATCAAATTTTAGGAATTCAATTAAAACAAAACAAAATGTAAGGAACTAATTTAAAATTAAATAAATTTATAAGGGCTTGAAAGTTTATTTTTTCAAAAATAAAGAACCTTTTTTTTTTACCGAAAAAAAAAGAAACCACTTAGGGATATGAAATTATTGCCGTTCACCTTTAATATATTCACGGATAAACTCTTCAGTATATATATATATATATATATATATTTTGCGGGTAGAATTTTCTATATTGTTTCTTCCTGTTTCACTGTTGATATTTAGTCAGGATTTGATGGGCCTCTGCCCTGTCTGAATTCTAATGAATCAATTCATTGAATTCATTTGTTTAATTTGTCATCTCAATATTTTTAAGGGTTATTTTTTGCCAACATTTTTTTAAATATAAAATATTTTTAATTAAATTATACCGTTCAATTAGTTAATTATTTTTAAAATAATGTTATCTTTTTAAGTCTATCTTTATTTAAATGTGTCCCACTCAAAGTAAATGGTTAAATAACTTATTTATTAATCATAAATTTTAAAAAAATACTCATTAATTTTACATTAAAAAATTAAAAATATCTCATATTTTTTTAACATGTAGCTTCAAAAAATGTATTTAGTTTATTAAGGGTATCATGCAATGCGCCAAATGTATCTAGTTTTTCTTTTCTTTTTCAAATCAGAGTATATCTAGGTGCTAAGTAGCATAATATATGCATTTATATATATATATATATATATAGAGAGAGAGAGAGAGAGAGAGAGAGAGAGAGAGAGAGAGAGAGAGAGACTAATCCATTCAGTATAAATCTATTACCTGTGACATTGGACCGAAAAAATAGAAGATTAACTCGTGTGAGCGATTGGCTTTGATATTATAGAAATATATTTTTCTCTACGTGTAAAAAATAAATCATTGACATAGAAAAGAAAGAGAAGGTGTTCATTATTTTGTCATGGTTATTATTAGTTAGTTTTTCATTTATTGTTATAAAAAGTAAGAGTATTATTTTTTTTGGTATGCATACGGGTATTATTTTGTAATATAAAACTAGATAAATACGACCTCCATTCATTTATACAGAATTTAAAATAAATCGTACTATTTAATTAATTAATTTACTCATAATAAATATAATTATTTTACCTTATATTCTTTTTTTTTGCCAGCTGCTTTATATCCTATTTATTACTACCTCCATTTCAAATAAGATATTTTTAGGAGAAATTCAACATTTCAAAATATATAAAACTTTGATAAAAGTAAAATTTTATTAATTATTATTTTTAATATTGCATTTCTAACATATTTTTTATCTTCAATATTCTTTCAAAATTGGAGTATTAATTAAATAGCATTGTTAAAAATTTATATTTTTAAAATATATTTAATGAGTTTTATTATATCTATAATTTTATTTAAAGATATCTTATAATTTAAAATGAAGTGTATACTATATAAAATTATATTTTTATATGAAAAAATTGAATACAAAGACCTTTAAAAAAGTTGTTCATATGCTGAAAAAATGGATTACTAATAAAATAAGAATATCAACTTTTTTTTTAAGGGTGATTTAACATTTGCATGTGTCTGATTTTTAATTTATATTTAATAAAATTTATTTAAAAGATTCAATTATTTATTAAATTTAATAAAAATATATTTTAAATATAGTTTGGATATAATTTTGACAGCTATATAAACAGGTATTTAATTTTTTTTTTTAATAACATTCTCTACATGTCCTTCAATATATTTTATATAGAATTTTATTTTTGTCATTTCACTGTCCCAGGAGACTCGAGACGTGCGGGGTGCAAAAACACGGTTCACGCAAGCCTTTTTCCGTTTGAGAACGCACGGCCGGAAGCAGCTACAGTATTGTCAGGCGGGACGATCCGTTAGGCAGCGGGAGAGACCCTTCTCATCCGAGTCTACCCTCCCGCTTTCATTTGACGCTTCAGACTTTCCTTTTCATCCTCCCTCTTCGTACTTCAACCATGGATTCTTCGGATAGCAAACGCCGCCAATCTCTGATCCCGAACTTCCTCTTCTCCTCTTCTGCGTCTGAGAAAACTCTTTCTCTGCGGAAGATGCTCAACTCCTCCTTCATCCGTGACTCTTCTTCGAATCTTGAAACAGAATCCTTGAGCAAGAGCTTCATGATTGCGGCTCCAAGTGAACTTGGCAAGATTGAACTGTACTCACCAACCTACTTTGCCGCTTGTACCGCTGGTGGAATCCTTAGTTGTGGACTCACTCACATGGCAGTCACTCCTCTTGACTTAGTCAAATGTAATATGCAGGTAGGATTTTCTCTTGATCTTATGCTTCGGACTGAATTCGACTTATACTTGTGTTTGATTATGGCATTGTGGCGTATTGGCAATAATTTCGCGGTAATTTAGATCTGCGCCTTCTTTTTACTTTACTGTGAATGTTGAACTAGCATGCATTAAAGACATCTGCGAGTTATGATCGCTGGTGATCAATGTGAAGATTCTTTTCTTTTTTCCAAGATTTATTTCGTTTTTCTTTTCTTAAGCTTCAGACGCATATATATGTTCAAGATTTCTGATCTTGGCCTTCGATTTTTGGCTACTCGGATTAACGCGTTCACATTTTTTGTATTTGTAGCGTCCTAGCGGTGCTTTGCTTTGCTCTAGTTTATTGTTAATTTTATTCTGTAAAAACGTTGATGTAGAATCAGTAGGCAGAATAAAGAGAAGTGGAGAGAAGAACAAGAAGGTAGATGGTGAGATAAATAGGGGGGGAGAAGCAGGAATAGGAATAGGGAAAGAGTAGCGTCACGAATCCATGCCCCGTAAAGAAACTAATGAGCCAAGAGATTTTATTAATAATCTCTCCTGGCTGTCGTTAATAAGCGCTTTATAAGAGTCCTGGTAGTAACTCATAATGAATTAATTAAAGTAATTCAAAAAAAAATTGCTAGTATAATTAACAAAAGGTTAATATGAACCTAACAAAAGTATGACTAAATCAAAATTAAACCAATTAAATAATTTCTAATTGTTATGCTTATCTTTAGATCCGAATTCTTAATTTACAATTACAAGTAATTAAAAATTAATAATATCTCCTGGTATTACTTTCCCATTCTTTATTGAGCATCTTTCATCTTTTTTGTTCGTCAGTGTTGCTATGGAGATTCTTGAAGTATTTCGTCGCGATTGATCAATAAAAAAAAAAAATTAACTTGAGTTTCTTACCTTTTTTCCTTTTAACATTACTTTTAAGTGAATTTTAGTCATTTTTGTCTCTTGCATTTTGTGCATGTGTTCTTTGAACTATCATCTTTGGCTTCTTCCTGAAACACCAGTTTTCTACCTTAGATTTTTTTTTTTTTAAATTAGCTTACGAAATATGGCATTTAATTTATACTTAAATGCTCAAAACACTGAATTTCATTTATTCACAGGAAAACAAACAGTTTAATGTAATTAGATTTAAATATTGGCATTAATTTTAATGTTATCGTTAATGTTAACTTCAGATTGACCCTACAAAGTACAGGAGTATCTCATCAGGATTTGGAGTTTTGCTCAAGGAGCAGGGATTAAGGGGCTTTTTCAGGGGCTGGGTGCCGACCTTGCTTGGTTACAGTGCTCAGGGTGCCTGCAAATTTGGATTCTATGAGTTCTTCAAAAAATACTATTCTGATATTGCTGGCCAAGAGTATGCCACCAAATACAAGACCTTGATCTACCTTGCTGGTTCAGCATCTGCTGAGCTTATTGCAGATGTTGCACTTTGCCCCTTTGAGGCAGTAAAGGTTCGGGTTCAAACTCAGCCTGGTTTTGGTAGAGGTCTTGCAGACGGGCTCCCAAAGTTTGTGAAATCTGAAGGAACTTTAGGGTATGGCTATAAATAAGCTAGTACTGTTGTGGTAGGGGGTAGTGTGAAGTTGTATATATTGTTACTGCTTGCTAGGATGCATAAATAATGACATGTCTGCTGATTTTTAGGCTGTACAAAGGCATACTTCCTCTTTGGGGACGTCAGATTCCATGTAAGCATACCATACCGTGAAGTGCCATCTTTTTGTTTGATTGTTGCTATCTTAGTGTCTGTGGTTTTGCTTGAAGATATCGCTTTCATGTTGGGATTGATATTTTTATTAAGTGATTTTCGTTGTTCCTTCAACACTACTTTGTTGCACTTGTGACTAGACTAATCACACACCTATCAAAATAATATTAATTTCAACCCTAATATAGCAAAGGTTCAACCCTAAGTCATCTCCCTAGTAGTGTCTAAATCCAAATGTGAGGTTATGAAGTGGACAAATTATACAAATGTTTGAGAGTTGGACCACACTAAGCTATCTAAAACACTAGTGCAAAGTGAGCCAAGGGAAATGGATGAAATATCCTATGTCAATTATGGAGATCCCTAGGAATTCAATGTTAGAGATTTCATTGCCTACTAAAGTGATTAACTAAGGTTCCCTACCTCACTAGATCAAGTTCCACCTAGACTCAATTAAACCTAGTTGGATTAACTAATTAACCTAACTCAATTCCCTAGGTGAAGCAAGCTACGGCCAACCATAAGTGTCCTTGTGTGTTTTCCCTAAGCATTGCCGCAACCAAGCAAGATAAAGACATGGAATGATCATAAGATTATGCAACAATCCAATTCAAATCAATGAATCAACTCACAGGATCATGTGGCAACATGATATGGACAAAATTCAAGCTATGAACAAGGCAAATGAATAGAGTTTGCGAGCATTCCTTCATTACAAAAGATGATGGTCTCAAATTAGAGTTATAAACCAATCAAATTGTAACCTAAATCTAGTATTACAACCTAAAGTAAAATGAAGAGAATCTAGGGTTAGCAGATCCTTAACCAAGTGAAGAATGTGTGAACTCCATCTCTTCCATCTCCTTCTCAGGAATCCTCCCATGATCTCTAGGAATCCTCCACTTTTGTCTTCTCCTATGTTGATTTGAGCCTTCAATCCTTGAATACTTTAGAGGGTTTGGACGAGATTGAGAAGAGGAGAATAATGAAAGTGGTTTTGTGTGATTTGGATAAGAAATGAGAGAGATATGAGTGATTGATTGAGCAGGAAGATTGAAGAATAAATGGAAAATTAAGTGTGTGATTTGAATGAGAGAGTATCTGCACGAAATAGGCTTAGAGAAAATGAGAGAAAAGTGATGGAAACTTGAAAAGTGATTATTGTTTTCAACAATAAGGTGACTTGGCCAAAACTAACAAGTAAATTGGAGGGAAATTGGTGACATTCAAAAACTAGGCTTGATCCAATACAATGCATTATTTCAAGCCTAATTTGCACCTCCTCAAATCTGAGTATGTCACACCTAAATTGCCAAAGCCTTCTTTGGTTGCCTTGAATTATGTCTTCAATTATCACATCAATCCACTTAAGTCACAATTAAATCAAATTATTAAATAACCATATTGTAACATTTATTTAATTGGATTAAGATAGAAATATTTGGTCCATCCAAAGTATTAAAATGACTAAGGAAAAATTAATATAAAAGTCTCACAACACACAAGTGTAGACAAGCACACACTTGAACCAAACTAAAGGTTAAATGAAAACCGTTAAGGAGACAACCTAAAAATGTTGTCTTTTTCTAATGACTCTCAACTTAGAATGAATTGATAAAAAATAATTTGACCAATCATTTTAGCCCACCAAAAGACATAATTTTCAAGCTTAATCTCACTTTGGTGAAAAAGTATATTTTATGACCAAAGTACCCCTAATACATGCAATTTAAGACTTGGGCAAATTTACACTAAAAATGTGATGTGAATGCATATAAACTCTTGTTGAGCGTGTAAAATGGTCTCTTTAAGATAATAAATGTGTATAAATAATGTGTTCTATCAATTTGTAGTCCTATTTTGGCGGCTTAATGTTCAAGTATATATGCTTATGCATGGTTTCTAATGGAAATAGATTAGAGATCTAATATGTTTTGCTATTGAAATCTACTTTTATATCTTCACCATGAATTGTAGGCTGAAGTATGAATGGTTTCGGCCTGAGCCTTTTATAAAGGCTGAGGTGAATGCGAAGATGCAAGTTCTATCCTGCCTTATCCATCCCCATTCTCGTTCACCCTAAATTTAAGATTGTCCGTTAGGTTTTCTACTCTGATTTGTCCCGGTGATAAAAAGAAGAAAAAAGAAAATAATCACCAAGTAACTGAAGTATTAAAGCTTTCCAGGTGGGAAAAACCTGCACTTTGAACATTGGTTGTGACTTGTTGTTTATTAATTTTATGGTTTATATGTCCAGCTTATTCTGTGTGACGTGTTTTATTCTTTAAACCTTTCCTTGGTTTTCTTCTTAAAATTATGAGGATAACTTTTGTTGATGCCAAAAAATATTACATCTGATGTAAGAACTCATAGAATTTTTGTTTTTGCAGATACCATGATGAAGTTTGCTTCTTTTGAGACCGTCGTTGAGATTATATACAAATCCGTCATTCCCAAACCAAAGAATGAATGCAGCAAATGTCTGCAACTTGGTGTGAGTTTTGCTGGGGGATATGTAGCTGGTGTGTTGTGTGCAATAGTGTCCCATCCTGCTGACAACCTCGTCTCCTTCTTGAACAATGCGAAAGGGGCAACTGTTGGTGATGTGAGTACTCGACCTGGTGAAGGTTTATTTGGAGGGGTGAACGATCACTTTACTGTGGTTTAAAATAATATTTAAATGTATTATAACTATAAGTTATGAAATAAATCATTTAATCACATTCACGCATCCTGACGTGCATCAAAAGGTTGAGGCCGGAAGGCTTGAGTTTGTTCCACAGCTTCACGGTATGCTTTTGACTCCCTAATGCAGGCTGTGAGGCAGCTTGGTTGGTGGGGCCTCTTTACTCGCGGCCTCCCTCTCCGTATTTTTATGATTGGAACTCTCACTGGAGCTCAGTGGGGAATATACGATGCATTTAAAGTCTCCGTGGGGCTGTAAGTTTCTATAACTGAAAGTTGGTTTATGTCGTGATATTTATTTAAACGGTAATGATATTCTTCTTCCCTAATCAGGCCAACCACTGGCGGTGTTGCTCCCGCTGCTGCCCCTGCTTCTCCTCCTGCTGAGCTTTCGTAGGGGCAGTGTCCAAAACATATGAGCCAAGTTTTCTACAAGGAAGTTTTGAAATCCAGATGGGCATTAGGAACCGTTAATAGACAGGCATGCAAAAGCTGCGAGAGTCCACTCAAGCTCGGGCGGATGACATTCTTTTCAATATTTGGACCCTGATAAGGATGGTGTTGCTCTCTATGTCAGGATCACTACATCTCCAGGTCAAATAGGAATGCAAATTTTTCTTTTTGATACAATAGTAATACATATTTCATATTTGCATCTCTGTGCAAAAGCATGGGCCCACATCCAATCTTAGTTATCAATTTTTTGTTCTTTTACATTACAGAGGCAGGCTAAATATTAGAAATATAAAGTAAGGGGGTTTGATTCCATTCAAACCAACACATACCAAAAACCAAACAAAATTAACGGGTTTTGGCATCGTAAAAGCTTTACCCAAACAATATTTGTAAATTGTGATCAGTTTTGTTCAATTTCTTCTAATTTCATGTTTATTATTATTATTATTATTTTTTTTTTTTTACCTATAATGTTGTTTGATTCAATTTTGAATAATTAGGAAAAATAAGAGACTCCATATCAAATCTAATTTAATCGACGAAAAAATTTAAGTAATTACTATTTAAAGGAAAGAACTCGTGCAATTTACGAATAGATCTAATTCCAATTGAACACGCGCAGAAGACTAGGACTATGTTTCTGCTTTCTACTGCAACTGGACACATCAGTTCGGCAAATTTACTAATAGAAACTACTCCAAAAGAACACGAGGATTCATTTGTTTGAGAACCCTGCAAGAATTATTCCAAAAAAAGAACCCTACAAGAATGAAAACACTACACCATGGAGTATACCCTACCAGTCCAAATCAACCTTCGCTCTTGTTTACGAGTACCAGCATGAGCAATACACCTCTCTCAATCTAACTTGGTTCTTCCCCCCTGCTGCAGCTTCGCTGGTTCAGCAGGAAAGTATTTTATACCCACTAGATCACCAACCTTGCTGATAACCTATCAAAGAAGAACAATCTCAGCAAGCAACAACAACACACATATCATGGAATTAATATAGTTTAACAAAATTTCACAAATTGTGTGGCGCATCGAATGATTTGAACATAAAATAAAAAATGGCTTTTTGATTCCCCGCTTGCACGTTCAGATATAGCAAACAAAAGGAAATGACGTAAAAAAACTCAATAATTTACTTTTCGAAAGTAGAGTGACGCATATTTCACACCCACTTAAAAGATTGACTGGAAGATGAAATCTCCTGATCTAAGTCATAGGCTATAGTAAGGTATTCTTTTGAATGAAAAGAAAAAAAAAACAATTAAATGATGCCTTTTCCTTAGACTCATTGAGTGAAAGTCAAAATGTGTACCTCCAAGGCTTTGATAAGGTCATCTTTAGAATGAGCAGCAGATATGCATATGCGGGCTCTTGCCAACAATAGTGGAGTTGCTGGAAATGCCACCGTCACCACAGCAACCTGAAAGAGTGTGAAACAGAAATGGCACGAATTAATTAAAAAAGAATAAATTGCATATCCAAATTGGGGGGCGTTAGCAAGGATCTTAAATGGTTGGATGTTCTCACATTCTGCTTGAGGCACTCCCTAGAGAAGGCAGGGATTTTGGCGGGGTTGTAAAGCATGATGGGCATTACAGGGGAATCATTATCCCCAAGAACCTCAAATCCCATCTTCTGCAATTCTGATCTGAAAAAGTTGCTATTCTCACGAATTTGTGCAAGCTTTTGGGCACCTATGAGCAGAGAAGTCAAACAAGAAACTTTAGTGCCCAAAAGACAAAGCAAATAGATGCACAGAACTCGGAATATTCTGAACGAAGCAAGTAAAAAGCCATGGAACAAAGAAGAGGCAGCCAAACCTCTATTAGAACCATCCTCTCCAAGTATAACCTTTATGGAAGATATAATTTGTTGAGCAGCTGGAGGTGAAATTGAAGTAGCATAAAGATGTGCAGGGCAAGTGCACTTCAAGTACTGGATAAGCTCCTAATAGTATGCCCACATGTTCAACAATACAATTAGACTTCAAACAATTGGAATCACCAGGATTCAATAGCACAGTGATCAAAATTGTCGCAAAGCAATATGAAACAACTATTTTGGTTGTGCTAACTTTCAAACTTAGAAGTTGTGCTACACGAAGCATCAAAAGCACCACAATACTACTTTGGTTGCATGAAATGAAATAAGCACCTCTCAATTTCCTCACATTCTAAACCCTTCTCCTCTATGCGTTATTCTCTTCTTTATACAACTAAAGCACATTATAAATAAACTAAATAACATTCAAACACAAAAAATTGCAAACCTTAGACCCTGCAATATAACCTCCACATGATCCAAATGACTTGGTGAATGTCCCCATCATGATGTCAACATCAGCAGTATCCACACCTAAGAGTTCACAGACACCTCTTCCAGTCTTGCCCACTGCTCCAATGCTGTGTGCCTCATCCAAATATGTATATGCCTATATAGCAATGAAACGATGAAGAAGGCAAAACTAAATCCAAACAAAACTTGATGAGAACAAGTTGATACCAAACCTCTTTAGAGCACCAACACAAAAATCGTCATGTCAAAAACTACCCATGTAAAGTAAATCACATCACTTGTCAATCAGCCCAAGAAGCTTCTTACAAGAATTCATGATTTACTCAATTGAGTCGCTGGGTTAAACTTTTGAAGATCCAGTACTCTTTGCATTTTACAGGTGAAAAAATTATGACTTCATGTAGACATGAATCATTACAAATGTCATTATCTTATGAAAAAAATTATGGGAAGCCTTATCAAGTTTATTAAGACTTTTCATGAGTTAAAGATTTTATACTGAAGTTTGCTTACTAAGTTCTCAACTCACCCTGTGGTTGTATTTTACAGGTGAAGACTCCAATAGAGGCAAATGGAAGGAAGGTGCTGCTGAGATTTGAGAGGCTTGAGTTTCTATAGTCCTCTCTTTCTCCTTTTTGTAATTGTGACGAATATTATTTGATATTGATGCCAAGTTAGGATCATGTTTATGTTTTGGAGTCACTTGCATTGGTGTATGAATTGTGGGTATCTCGGTCTAGCTTGACATAAGTGTAGTGAAAATGTTGTAAGAGGCCGAGATATTGCTGCAAGTGAAGTCATTGTGATGTTTATATATGTGAGGATGGCCAAAGATTATTATGTAATTTGTTGTTACCCCTTGAAATATTATGCAATATAGGGTTCTAATGGCCAATTCTTGTTTGAAATGATATCGTTGTTGTATAACTGTTTAATCAAGTTGTTTATGGTTTGTTTGAATTGGTTTAAGTGGTTCCAAGGTTATTGGCATTAGGTTGGTAAGTTTGGACACCCATGCTGTGGTTTTGAAGTAAAATTGGACCAATTTGTGTCCAGATGTTCAAACCTTAAATGGCTAAGTATTTGGTTATGAAATTTGTGTCAATAGTTAGGTGGCTCTAAGAACTACGTGTGGATACTTGAATCGCTCGAATTGGATATCGAATGGCAAAACGGCACACTCTAAAAATTTGTTGAAGGAGCTATCATGATAGCAGATGTGCCGCGATGCACTGTGCAGCAAGTGGTCCCCTCTATGTGCCATCCGCACAGGCATTTTTGGAGAAATTTCCAAAATGCTCCATTTGATGATTTTAAGGACTATAATTGATTTTTATGCTTTCGTTACCTTGTTTAATTTGTTTTAAACTATGGTTTGAGGTCAAACATTCTTTTAAAAAAGGTTTCTTGGAATTCTAATCTTTTAAACAAATTTCTAAACCTGAGCTATGATAACCTTATATAAGAAATTTAATTAATCTTGGTTATCATAACAGTGTTTTGTGTCTCGTGTTCTGTGTCTTGGTAATGTCAAAGAGGACATTACACTTAAAGGCGATCATCCACTCTCTATATTTAATTGTATTAGCATTAAGTACTAAATATTTTTAAGTAAAGCATGTATATGATCCTATATTTAAGTCAGTGGCTTCTTACCAAATATATATATGCCTATATAGCAATGAAATGACGAAGAAGGCAAAACTAAATCCAAACAAAACTTGATGAGAACAAATTGATACTAAACCTCTTTACAGCACCAACACAAAAATCGTCATGTCAAAAACTACCCATGTAAAAGTAAATCGCATCACTTGTCAACCAGGCGAAGGATTTTCTTACAAGAATTCATGATTTACTCAATTGAGTTGCTGAGTTAAACTTTTGAAGATCCGGTGCTCTTTGCATTTTACAGGTGAAAAAATTATGACTTCATGTAGACATGAATCATTACAAATGTCACTATCTCATGAAAAAAATTATGGGAAGCCTTATCAGGTTTATTAAGACTTTTCATGGGTTAAAGATTTTATACTGAAGTTTGCTTACTAAAAAAGCAACAACCCTCCCCCTAGACAAAAAGGCATTATCAAATCTTTTATTTATTTTTGGGTTGAGAAAATTATATGAATTGAATGAAATTCAAAAAGATTTAACAAAAAGTAAGAGTAATCCAATGATTTATGAATCCACCATTCCAATTCAATCTATTAATTGGACAGATTGTTCATTGACAGGGGAAAAAAAAAAGATCTGAATTATAGAACAAAGAAAATCATAAAACAAATTAGAAAATCTTTTTTTTTTTTTAAAAGGTTGAGAGAGAAATATTTGTTCTAAGAAAACAACTTATGATGATAAAAGATTAGAATTACAAAAAAAAAATATTTGGCAGATATTACAAAAAAGAAATGTTCAATTATCCTGCAAATTACATTATTTTTTAAAATTTTTCATAGAAAGGGTATATATTGATAGACAGAAAGGCATAAGATAAAAAATTACAAAAAGTACAGAAAAATTTTGGCACCATATCAGATCTACCATTATAACTTACCTTGTATTTTTTGCAGATAGTTATGATCTCTGGAAGTTTGCATATCTCTCCTTCCATGCTGTATATCCCCTCAACAATAACAATTATCTTCTTCCAGGGCCTGTGGGTCCTTGGTTGTCCCTCAGCAATTTGTTCCCTCAAAACCTCTTCAAGATGAGACGGAGCTGCAGATAACATGATTAAGAAAATAGTAAATGAATAAAATATTGTTATCTTTGGAAGATTCGTGATACTACAGAACAGCATGGAAGGAGAAAAGGAGGCACAAGAATTCAAAGTGCAACACCCACATTAATTCTTCAATGCATGTGGGGTTGTAGAACAAAAATCAAAGTAGTTCAGTGACGTCTATATCTACAAACATTTCAGGAAATTGAAAACCAGAGAGATACTATGATAATGATCTCCATTTGGCATGCAGGAAAAATACTCACTATTATGCTGGAAAACACGAATAGTAGCTCCAGAACCTCGGGCACCATTGACAATGGAGTTGTGGTTCAATGAATCACTAATGATCAAACTTCCCTGCAAAGAGAAGTTATATCACTGATGAAAAAACCAAGCCAATTTCTTCAACAGCTGTAAATGGTACTATTACATCATCTTTTGCAGACCTTCCCCATCAGAACTGGAAGAACAGCAGAGTTTGTCACATAGCCCATTCCAAAAACTATAGCAGCTGGCTTGCCAACAAAGTTGGCGACAGATGTCTCCAATTCATTGTGCAGTGCAGTAGTGCCTATTAGAGTAGCCATATTTTATGAATACATCAACAGACAAAATTTTCATTTGCAGGTAAACAACAACTACGACACATACCCCCATCTACCCGACTACTGCATGTGCTTGCAGAATACTTCTTCAATGACTCAATTGCTCTGGGTGTACAATATTCATCTGAAGCAGCAAAGCCAAGATAGTTGTATGATCCCAAGTTAAGGCATCTACTTACTTTTGTCGTTCGCCTGCATAAGAATGACTGGGTTATACATAATTTGAGACACAAAAGCTCAAGTAATAAACTTTTCGTGAAGTAAAATCAAACATCCAAATAAATCCCAGAAAAAACCCTGTAATTCAAGAAATTAGTACTTCAGGGTTTTGTTATTATCGTTTGAGTAGCGCTCCACTACATCAAACCACGCATCAGGAGCACTTGATATTGGTCTTCCAAAGCAATCCTATCAGGGCCAGAAGAAGAAGAAGAAGAAGAAGAAGACGAAGACGTCAACACTTCATGAATTTGTTAAACATATAATTGAATATGAACTACCACAAATATGCAGTATTTGTATTTGTTAGTAATATAGCAATTTATTTTGCATTTAAGAATCAAATGTACTGCAAATGCAAGATAAGAACTAAAATATCCAAGAATAGAAGAACCGGTAAAACAATCGTGGCACAGCTCAACAATTTCCCACATGTTACTAGCTCGACACCAATATCAATACGCAAACTCACAAGGTACAAACACTACGCACAATTATTGGGACCTCAATTTAAGCACGATCAAGCAAACAGAAAAAAGTACAGCATAAATGAAAAATGAACCCATAAAGTCGTTAATTACATACCTGAATACGAAGATACAGTCGGCGAATATAAAAATCTTCGAGTCCTAAACATATCGGTGCGTAACCCTGCTTGCAAGAAGAAACGTGTTGGTAAAACAAAAGCATATCGCAAAAGCATGAATATTAAGAGCGGGAAAACAGGAGAAACCTGAAGGTTGTTAGAGCTGCACCAGTCCATAATTTTCCTAAAGAAATCTCTGATTTGACCGAAGGCGAAGAGCAAACCATAGCTAAAGTAGGTGCTCAATGCAGTCAAGTATGGAATTGCAATCATCTTCAATCTCCACCAAAAGAGAAACCAAAGCTGGAATCAAAGACGAAGACACGGATCTGGCATCAAAATCTGGAAATTCTAAAAGAGGTGCATAGAACTGCCCCTGTGTAGTAGGAGATAAACCCGCCAGAGGAGCAAAAATGACAAGGAAGTGTCAATGCTGATAGCAGCAGGCAGGTGTAGTAGGAGAAGGAAGAAAAGGATGAGATCACTCGAACCGAACCAACCCCAAATTCAGATGGCACGTTTATTTGAATCTTACCAACTCCAAAATGATTCAGGAGCCTTGTTTTATTTGATCCCCAAAATCGAAAAATCGGACGGGAGACGGATATTTTGAAGCTTCAATGGGTCAAATTTTATCTTAATTATTTAACAAAAAAAAACAAAGAATGAGGAACTAAGAAAGCCCCAAAACATTCCTCCTCACCGACCCTTCTACTTCCATGAGGGGTGGTGCTGGTAGGTCACGAAGAATGCAATGCATGATTCAGCTTGACCTCGAAGCTCGAGGGCCACATTGAGCAAACGTGTCAGCGGCTTCATATGTTTCTCGTCTGGCATGTGATTGTGCTTAACATTGATTTTCCTCTCGTCATTCATCATCCACTGGATTGTTGATCAAATTTTCGTTTGAGTGCCCTGTCTCATTAAATTTTACAATGAATTTTCTTTTTTAATACTGCTGTGCCCCTCAGATTTTATTTATGGTGCAAAGAAAAAAGATTAATTTTAATTTTATTTATAAGGCAATGCTTCACTGTTTTCAATATGCATATTTATTTTTATGTCTTTATTAAATGTTAAAAAAATATTAAAAGTAATCTTTTTTGTCTCTATTAGGGTAGAAGTAGAAATTTATTAAATTTTAAAATATAATTTAAATTTTTTATTTTTTATTAAATATATTGAGAATGACTTATAAATAAAATTAAAGAAAATAAAATATAAATAAAATCATATTTATTAACAAATTACTATAATTCACCTAGTTAATCAACAGATTTATACAAAAGTTGTAAAACTCATTTGATTCATCAGCTGTTGGTGGATTGACATTAAGATAATTTTAATCTAAGGTCTATTATGATGCTCATTCGTCAATTTTTTTAATTATAAGATTTGGTTTGAATACAATGTATTGTAAGGAAAACTAGACTGGTCGAGTCAACCTGTGAATTGATGACCTGCCCTTTTCACAGGTTCAATTTTCATCCTAACCCAGTCAGCTGGTGACTCGGTATGACCCAACCAACTCAAGGTCAACCTGGTGTAAATCGAATAACCCGATGGGTCAATTAGGTCAATTGGGTCACTTATTTTGCCCTTCAAAACCCCCTAAAAATTCCTATTTTGTCCTTCAAAATTCTTAAAATATGACGTTTTGGAAAAAAAGGCTTCACTGGTTTTATTTTTTAATTCTAAAATCCATCGATCAAACCCCACCCTCACTAACTCTGGACACTCATCCCTAACACTAGCTCAAATTGAATCCCACCCATTAGTCATCAACCATCATCGCTGCCCGTTCTATCGTTGTTGCTCTATGGGCTCTTGCTTTCCTAGTTCGAACTCTATCTCTCTCACCATGTAGCAGAAGTGCAAAACTCACCATGATCGTGATGCATAACTCGCGTCGCTCTCAGCTATCCTCTCTCTCACCGTGATATAGAACTCATCGTAACGTTGCTATCTTCTATCTCTCTCAATGAATCTCCTTGTCGTTTAATCATTATTTTTTTGATTGCTATACCTCTTCCTTCTTTGCATTTTTAATTCAGAAGTGGTTTTTACATTATTTGTTGTTGTTAATTTGTCTATTATTACTTAACATTTTTGATTGTTTTTCTCTATTGTTATTTTTTATTATTGTTAGACTTTTAAGTGATTATATTTTTATAATTATAGTTGTATTAGTATTTTGTATTAAAGATTAATCTTAAATTTAATTGAATATTTTTATAATTAATATCTTTTTATTTAAATTGTATTGTTTTAATAGTAACTGGGTTGTCACCGGTTTGATTCCTGATTGAACCACTAACCCGTGACCTAATGCCTTGACCGGTTCAATAATCGGTCCAGTTTTAAGTACCTTGATAGAATGTTTTTCCTTCTCTCTCCCCATTCTTGTAGAATTGTCCCCATTGGTCAATTTTTACTTTTTTTTTTCTTTTCAATTTTTTCCCCATTTGTCTCTTTATTTTTCCTTTGTTTTTAATTACTCTTTCATTGTATTCGTTTATCTCTCATCCTTAATAACTGGCATGAGTAACTGACTGAATTTTTTTTTGGCCAACTGTTTTCCATTTTCTATGTTTCATGGGTGTATTTTTTATGTCTTTATTTTGCAGTTCTTTCATTTTCCTATGTTCATGCATCAGGAACCACATCTGTTAGCTCTCACTCTTTTCAAAATTCAAATTTTAAATTTGATTGGATACAAGTATTTATCATCTTCTTAGCATTGTCTTGCCCTTAAGAATTTTTAATCGTTCTTGATAGATGAGTATTATTTTCTCATCCTTTGTCGACTTTCCAGCACCCCCCCTCCAATCAGACCTTATCTTCACCAACTGCAGTCATTAGAGCATCCCACAGGGTAAAGCTACTCTATCCAATGGGGGGAGCATGCTCGTCTCTTTCTATTTGTCGTCTTTCTACAGCTCTCATGCATAATGGATTTGAGAAGCTGAGATGCGACGCATAATCATCTTCATCAACTCTCGGCTCTTCAACGTAACTTCGATCTTTAGATCTTCAACATCAGTTTTTTCAAGGCAAAGGATGGGTGAAGATTTGAATATTCTAGACTTACAACAATCATGCAATCTTGAGGAGGACATAGTTTCTGCTGCAATGATGCACTACAAAAAAATAATGAATTAGCGATAGAATAAATTTTCATCGCTAAATTAATAATGAAATGTGCTGTCACTAAATTTTTATCATTATTTTATCATTAATCCTTTAAAAATAATTTACCGACAGAAAATTTTGTCATTAATTTTTAAGATATTTTATTTTAATTTAGTGACAGAATTTACAATAGAAAATTCTTTCACAAAATTTTCTGCCATAATTCTGTAGCTAAGTCTGTCATAGATTATTTTTAATTTAATTTTATTATTTATGATATCTATCTATATATAATTTATTTAATAATTTATTATTATGCTATGAATAAATAATTTAAAAATTATAAATTAAAATAATTTATTATTTTAAATTATTTGTACATTATTACTAATAATTTAAATTGTATACTTAATCAATATTATTTAAAAATAAAAATAAAATAACAAATAATAAATAAAAATTCAAAAATTCAAAATATTATATATTATATAGATGCAAATTGAAATATAATATATAATGATAATAAAATATTTTTCAATTTGATATTAAATTTATTATCAAAAATATTTTTTAAAAATAAAATATAATAGAAATAATTATTATATATAAATTATTTTTTTCATATTAATAAATAAATATAATGTTAATAAATAAGTAAATTTAAATACTATATTTAATAATTGTTTAAATAATATTCCCTCTATTCAAAAATATAAGGCATTTTTAATCTTTTAAGGTATAATCATTGCCTTTTTATCAAAAGTACCTCTATTGATAAATGACTTTATGTTTATTGTAAGGTATTTAATAGGAACAAATATAAAAAATAGAGTTAGTTTGGAAGTAGATAATTATTTTATTGGGGGTGAGATTGGGTTAAAAATTACTTACATTTTTGAATGGAGGGAATATTTTATTAATATATATGTGTGTAGTTAAGTGTTATATATTTAATTTATTAATTAAGACTGAATATTCCTTTCAGCTCAATCGATAATAAAGTGGACACAAAGGCACTAGAGAGTGTGAGGTTGACACAATTGAATGTAATAATATTTAACATGGCAGTAATAAATGACATGGCAATGAGGTGGCATTAGTTTACTAGGTGATGAGGTAACATTAATCTACTAAGTGATGAGTAATGATGTTTTGGTCTACCTAAAAATTAACAACGGAATATATTCGTTGTTAAGTCAAAATAGTTTATCCTTATTTAATTATAAAAAATTTCTATCACTAATTGGCAAAAAATTGCAAACTCCGTAACTAATTAGAGACTGAATTGCAAATTTTGTTGCTAATGAATTAGTGACGGTGTTTGTAGTGATGAAAATGTTCTATCGCTAATCTGTTTAGCAATGAAATTTTCACTAATTAGCAAGAAAAATTTTCCATCACTAATCAATTATTTTTTATAGTGATAATTCATAAATGAAAAGTTGCAACTTAAAATAATTAGCCTCATTTTGACCATTAGTGGCATATGTTGTGATTTAAATTACATCCATCTCTTTAGATTTTGTTGTCTCAATTTGATATTCGTTCTTTGGAGATGCAACCATAATAGGACATTTGACGCATAATTGAAAATGTTTTGGGACAATTAGCATGGTGTTTTAATTTGTTTAGCATCACAAAACACAAGCTACATTGCTAACTTTTTAATATGGTGAATCATATGAAAAAAAAAAAATTGCTATTTAAGGGCTACAAGTCAACAATGCCCTTCAGCAGTAACAAAAATTGCTTTATTTGATTCCCTTTGTACTTCAAATACATTGAAGTTCAATTCGTTTAGGTGTTATTGCTATCAGTATCTATGGTTTCTTTATTACGTTGATTTTTTATCTTTCCATAAGAGTAATTTTATTTTCCTACCTTTGCTGCCACTACTACTCCAAAAGATTAAAACTTTAATAGTATTTAAAATTTTAGTTTTGTAACGTTTACGCGACGATGTTTAGTCTAAGAAACATGACCTCTTTAATTGATTATTAAAAAATAAAAGGACAGAAGAAACATGCACTACTTGAACGAAATGCCACATCTGTTGCTTAAATATACTCTTTTTTTTTTTTTTAACAAACAGAGGTGCCATTTCCTTCAAGTGAAAACGCCATTTCTCTAAATTATTTTTTATTTTATTTTAAAAACAAATAGGGGTGGTCTCTTAGGTTTATTTTATTTAAAAAAAATTAATAAAGCTGGCATTTCCTTCACCTAAAAATGCCACCTCTGATATTATTTTTTAAATATTTTTTATAAAATTATGTATACCCAAATTTTTTCTCTACAATAATTCCACCAATATAATACCACTCAGTATCTCTGACATACCTGATATTTGTTGTTATATTGATCTCGATTGGTGTTAATTATTGTTAATGCAATAATGTTGATGTTCTAGTTTGTAGACTACAAAAACTGAAATTTGTGAATCTATTTTATTTGTGGGACCCACTTATGGAATCGTTTGTATTTACCGGCTAAATCAATTTTCAACTGATATTAATATGAAATATAAATTTTTAATCAAAAGAATTATTATAAATTAATATCACTCATCTTATAATGCATATATTTCAAGTATATACGTGTGTATATCACTATATATATATAATACTGTTTTCTACCAAAAACGAAAAGCACCACAGTAATGTATATACTCACATTAAAAAAATAAGGCAAACATTTATAAAATATTGAAACGACTTTCGTGTATAAATTCCTTTTAGAAACCAGCAAAGCAAATTAAAAGGGCTAAACAAGCTAACCTCTCACGAATTGCAAGGTTAAATAGGTTAGCTCAATTAAATTACTTTTTATTGATGAACAGTCAAAACCCTATTTACCAAATGGGTTAAGCAAATTAGTCAACTTAAATAGTGCTAGCAGTGCAAGTTATAGCTCGCTTTTCGCTGTGTACTCTGTAGTAGGCAGTTACTTAGGCCGCGGCTCAGGCTAGCAAATTCATTTGCATTATTATTATTTTTTTGTTAATTTTCAATTTTATGAAATTGAATACTAATGTGAAAATAAATAATGTAGATATAGATGGCAATTATCAATATCAATTAAAAGTTGCAATTGGTTTATAGTTTTTTTTTAATAAAAAAGAAAATGTGATCCCCCACGTTTGTTCAGTGACTCTGCATCCTTGGTGCATCACTTATTACTTTCTAGTTTCTACAGATGTTAAGGTCTTAGTGGATGATCCCCAGCATGTGCAAGTTCTCCAAAGCAAGAAGCACCCCTGCCACATAGATCCTATACGACATAGTGCATATCTGTGAAATGGCAAAATTTGGCGGGAACATCTCTCGCATTGTGCAAACTATAAAAACTAACATGTGTATAGATCAAAGGAGGATCATTTTGTTAAAAAAACAAAAATTATAATTGGACTAAGTTGCAGCACAATTTTTTCTTTCAAAGGTGATTTGTATATAGTCCACAGATCTATTTTAAAATTCCTTCAATTTATATTTTTTTATTTTAGCTTGTACTTGATCAGCTTGTGTTTTTTGTCCTCATGATATTCAGCTCATTTATGGTTTAAACATTATTTTCTTAACACCGATAGATTGTGCTTCATGTGTTTCTTCAACTCCATGTACACTTTGTATTTTTTTTATCTTTTGAATATAATATTTTTTTTATTTTCTAAATTTAAGATCAAAATTCTAGAGAATTATATTTACTGCCCTAAAATTTTCTTGTTTTTCCTAAATGATAAGGGGAAAAAAATCATTTTTTCAATAGAAGGAGAAAAAACATTTAATTAATTACTATTGATTTATTTAATTACTGTTGATTATTAATTTGATTGTTGGTTAGAATATACTAAATTAATTATTTTTTGTATTTGCAAGTGTTGAATAGAGGGTTTAATACTTAGAAAACTTTTATATTATGAAATTTATGAAGGATGTGATTGTTCATAGTCAAACTTTTGTCCCACTTGAGGTATGAATATTTAATTTTATTTGGGTTTGATTAATTTTTGTTGTTTTTTGACATTCTTTAATATATTTTATAGTATTATGATGATACAAAGTGCTTGAAATATAGTAATGAGTAAATTTATGATCAAATTGAAAAAATGTTATCTTTTGTTTTGGATTTAGGATGCCAAAATATAAGTAATTGTTAAATAGTATTGTTAGATTTTTGAAATTTTTCATTATAGGCTTCAACCTACTTGGAGAATTTAATTATATTAATGTAGTTGTAGATTTGTTTGTTGTATTGCAAAGATATGTAGTGTAACTTTTTATTATATAGCTGGATTGTTTGTTGTTGCTCACTGCATGTGTGCGGGTTGTAGCAAGTAATATAATGAAAATAAAGTATAAAGTATCATTCTCTCGAGAATTTGTTCAAAAATAATGATCAAATAAAAGACTAAGTAAATTCAATCAAGTTGAGCCATATACAGTTAGGTGAAAATAATATTACTAATTAAATTAACACTAGAAAATAAAGAAAAATAATTAATTCACAAACTTCAAACACAAATTAGAATCGAGAATTATTTATTCCTCTTGCATTTCATAATACCAAAATCATCTCCTCTCTTAAATGCTTTTAATGAAAATAAGTGCAAATCTAGGACTTTAAAAATACTTGAAAAACTTTCTCAAGTCATGAATAAGTGTTTAGTTAAATTAATGCTCAATTTTTTGTTACAATTAATAAAACTCAATTTTAAACTCCAACCTTAATGTGACTATGCAAGGCTAGCAAATATATCTCTATCTTACTAGTAAAATTATCCATTTAACATGCAAATATCAAGTTCTTGCACTATTTTACTTAAATTTTACACTCAATCTAACACTTTCAAGCAACAATTAAGTGAACCTAACATCTAAATGGTGGCCAATCACTTAGAAGCATTAAGGAAAGAGTAAAATAAACACATATATATCATTAGTCATAAAAAGAGAGGAGGAACTTAATGTTAATCCATACAAAGGTTCAAAATAATTTTAGAGCCAAAAATTTAACTACTCATAAACATAAAAAAGCTATAAATACACAAGATATTCATAGTCATTACAAGATTATAAGAAGGAAAGGGAAGAGGAATAGAAAAAATCAAAGAAAAAGAGCTCCAAATGTCTTTAAAACTCTGTTTTCTTACTTTAAGCATTTCCAATGCTTAAACCCTAGCACACGCAAGCTTCAAATATGTCTAAAAGTGAGTAGAATAACTTTTGGGTCGAGCTCTCTGAATATAAGTGTCCCACCCAATCAATTTTAGATTTAATAAAACACAGTGTTTTCTAACAGTGGTGAAAGTTGAGAACAAAAGTCATAACTTTAGAACGATTTTGACAGTTTTACACTATTTTTGTAGTTAATGAAAATTATTCACTTTATGCTTGATTTCTTCATCTAAAAGCTTTTCAAAAACATTCACAAAACTTCTAAAATGCTTCTAATCAAATCTTTAACCAAAATAATACAAAATTAGGCCAAAAAATATTAAATCAAAGCCAAGAATATAAACTCAAAATAAAATACACATTTTTTAATTTAGGCAATAAAAACATATACAATTGAGTTAAAATAGATTATGATCTAAGAAAAATGTGATGAAATAACATAAAATTTTAGAGATTAATATTTGTACTGCTGGACTGGTTTATATATATATATATATATATTGCTATATATATATATATATATATATATTTTGGTGTAGGTGTAAAATTTAGGTTTACAGAGTTTAAGAAAAATTATTTTAAAAAAATAATATTAGGTGACATTTCTTTAAAAATATATTTTATTTTAAAAAAATTAAACAAAGAGGTGGTTTTTTTTGAAGAAATGCCACTTCTTTAGTAATAATTTTTAAAAATAATAATTCAAAGAAGTAGTGTTTTCACCATCAAAAATGCCACCTTAAATATATAAATTTAATTTAAAAATATTAAATCATATAAGTGGTGCTTTATCCCTCCAAAAAAATGTCACCTATGTGTCACAAATTTAAAAAAAAAAATTAAATCAACTACGTGGCGTTTTCATACTTAAAAAGGCCACCTTTTTTACATTAATTTATTTTAAAAATAATTAACAAAAGTGGCATTTATATGTTAAGAAAATGCCACCTCTGCGGCGTTTGTTTTGATAAGAAGTGTTATCTCTTTGATTTTTTTTTTAAATTGCTTAAAGAGGTGGTGCTTGTGAAAAAAAAAAAAGCATCTTCATTCTAGTCTTGTAGTGTTTCATTAATTAATAAAATATTATAAAAAACTTATTTTAATATTAAATCTTATAGTGTTTATTAGATGACATAAAATTAAAATTTTAAACGCTAATCAAATCTTATTTCTATAGTAGCGGTTGTTGACTTCACTGATGCTCTAAGGTTTTGTGTGTGTACATGACTCTCTTTGCAGCCGTCAATTTCACATCTCAAAGCCAAATCAATACACCGTGCCTCCCATGATTTCCACAGTACCCCATGATTTCGACCACACCTTGAGAACTAGCGACTCTTGCAGTCTTGCTCCAGCAAGTACAAAAGGTATTCGAAAGCGAAAATGGGGCAAATGGGTCTATGAAATCCAACTTTCCAACAAGCGTGAGCGCATTTGGTTGGGCTTCTATTATTCGCCAAAGGAAACATGGTAGAAATATGAAGATAAATCTCAATTGGGCTATTTTCATATTTTTCTTTTCAATTTTATTTTCATTTAGATCATTTGGGTGTGCAGAGAAAATTCAAAATCCTAAAGTCCTTAGCTAATGATAGACCGAAAGGGTCCTTGAGTGAGATTTTACTTGAAAATAACTAATGTGTATGTAGATGACAATTATCAATATACGTTTTTTAAAAAGAAAATGTGATCGGTGATGTTTATTCAGTGTCCGTGCATCCTTTGTACTTTCCTTGTGCATTTTTTGTGCATCGCTTGTGTACATTTTACACATGCATTTCGACATCTGTTCACTGTTTGTTCATCTTTTGTGCATTTTTGTGCACTTTCTACACATGCACTTTCATCTTTTGTGCACTTTCTGTTCACTAGATCTTCGTTGTTATGTGTGGCTCGCAGAGCAATTTGATGATGATTAATGTCCAAGAATAAGAAATAATAAATGATAAGTAGCCATGTATTTGGGTCAAAGAAACACAAGTGGTCTGTAGACTACTCGTTTATTTTACACATATCAACACCAAAATCAACACACTTTTATAAGTTCCCTCAATACAACATGAAGAAACGCGCACACTCACCATTCAATAGAGTAATATTTTTGTCTTCATCTTGGTACCATATGTTAATCTTGATAGTATATATAATCAAAATACAGCCATTGATCCGAACTTAATAGAAGTCATCGAGTGACAAATTCTCAACTGAACCAAAGGTCTCAACTGATCCAATCCTTGAGAAAGTGGTCATTGATCCACCCAAAAAGTCAAGTGGAGAATCATTTGAAAATGTAGTTTCATAGATGAATGACATGTCAGTGTCATTCATTGTGGGATGGGTCATCACACTCAAACTATTTGACTTGTTAACCTCATAGTCCTGTAGAAAGAGATCGTTAATGTTATCACTAGATATAGCCATAAAATCGTCTTGCTCAGAAGCCTTTTTAGCTTGAATCACCTACACGTTCACATAAAAATTATATTAATTGAAAGAAGATTACCTGCAATAAATAATTTCTCCTCTAACTGAAGTTGTAATTTCTTTTTGAGGAAAATACGAAAGTTATATGGTTAAAATAGAAGAAATGATTTTCTAATTCATTGATAATGAAAAGTTATTCAGTTTGCGACACATACATATTTAAGGGTTTGATTATCTTGATAAACCACCATGGAATCTCCAAGACGTAATCCATGTGTGCTAACAAATTCTCCTGAAAAAAAATCAGTAGAATCAAGACCTCAATACAGATGTATTCTAACATAGAAATTAGTAGAACATATAGAAGTTTCAATTTAAGGGACAAATGGAGAGCTAAGGAGGTACCAGTGTTTTCAAGCACATACATCCGACTGTTGTTATTTGGCCAAAACCTGCATGAGATTTATATTATAGAGAACTTTCATATATGGGATCTGTCCATATATGTCACTTCATACAAACAAACCTTGAATTGTAATTTCAACTTATATCAATTTAAGTTCTTGTTCACAACATAAATTAATCTGTTTTTCTTTCTTTTTAATCACGGAATTGAATAAATATGGTATGCATAAGGGACCTGTACTTGAAGCTCCAAACATGAAGACCATCTATATCATCCATGCTTATAAGAATTCCTTCTTTAGACTCAAGAATAGGAAGGAAAGCCTCTGCTGCTTTCTGCAAATTTGGAATAGTTGCCTTCTATTTATCAAGGCTCATTTAAGGCAATATAATCTACAAATGATAAAAAATCTATAAAAAAAACTATATTATTTAGAAGTTATAAATAATGCAACTCACTTCAAATTATGTGCATCATGCACGCTAAAAGTTTAGCTCATTTAAGAACAACATCTAAAAAATGTATAATCAAAGTAGAATTCAAGTTCTCTTAATTTTAAATGAGAAAAATATTCATTTTTAATAAATTATAACAATTTATTCAACTTGAAAAAATTTATGTTAAATTAAAAATATTTAAATTAACTGAATAGTTAAAATTCATTCAAAACAATCATTTCATCCCTCAATCTTTCTAAGAAAAAAAACTTATTAGAAGCTAAAACACTAAATAATTAAAAAAAAAAAAACTAGACCTTTGGGAGCACCATTCTCCGGAGGGAGCTCACATCACTGTTCTTGAGCTCTTTTTGGAAAAGGAATCTCAACCTTCTGTGATCAATTTCCTGAAAGCATGGAGGTATGAATGTTGAGAGAGTCAGTTTTATTTAAATGAAGCATCCATGTGACTAGACGCAAAGCAAAAGGTAATAAATTTTGTCAAGAAATAAAATTGAAGGCGATTTGATTTCTTAGCAAGAGTACATGACACCATGTTTGCTTAGAAACTACAACCAAGTGTCGATTGCAGGCAAATAAAAATTTGCAGTTAACCATACTATAGATATACAGCAAACATGTTACAATACAACATAATATATATTCCCTCCATATTACATTATAAGATATTTTTAGATAAAATCTCACATATCAATAAAACTTATTAAATACACTTTATAGCCTTATTTTTTTAAGATAAATATGTAATTTTTTTAAAAAATGTCTTTCATTTAATACTCCATTGATAAAAGAATATTGAAGAGAAAAAATATATAAAAAAGTTAATATTGAAATAGTATCATTAATGAAATTTTATTTTTATCAAAATATTTTATATTTTAAAACTATAGCAATCATGTCATGCGTGTATGTGGCTTTGTTCCAAACATAGTATAATGCAACATGCTACATATAGCAAACAAGATTTTTGGGCTTGAGAAATAAAATGCTACCACCATGCCTAACATATTCAGCCCTTCGAGTCAATATTATAGTAATGCTAATAAAAGGGGCAGAGTGCCCAAGGTATATTGTCCCGCATGCTCTTATCGTTTGCGTTCAACACATTTTCCCAAATTCGCAAAGCAGACAGCATAACATTTAACAGTATCCTTCAACACTACCAACACTAATTAAAATGCTCCATTAATAAACATTTAACAGTACCCTTCAACACTGGAGTCTGTTTCACGTTCCTTTTTTGTGTCTGTGAATGAACCGTATATATATATATATATATATATTACTTCCTTGCTCCGCTCGACTTCTATAGATTAACTCATCCACACAAGCTTGAAACTCGAAATCCGCCTGACTTTTGTCTAATTACGCACCTCGTTATTTACTACGCGATTCAATTACAAAAGGAATTGCCCAATAGACTATCTGTCTTTTCTTTTTATTCTTACCAAGAGACTATCTCCTATATTGATGACATCAATTAACTTTTGGGGTCCAATAAACACACACACACACACGTATTGCCTGTGCAATGTTCCTATTAGGAATCGTCCATTTATAAGTATATTTGACTCTACTTCATTAATATTGCCTCAGCGTTTCTGCGAATTGGAGATGGCAAATAAGTATAGTCTAGATTTTTAAAATTCGTATAACATATCTTGACAATATATGTATTGGGGAATAAAGACTTGCCCGTACAAGTTCGGACATAAAACTGATTAAACTTAGTGCGAGCATCACGAGACAAACAAGCACACTGCTCTAAACAAAAGAGTGAAAGACACAATGTAGATCAGGAAAAACTAGAGCTCCTGAGATCGGGGACGAGATCAAAGGAAAGATATGTGAAGAGAGAGAATTAAGACGATTAGTAAAAGGCAAAGATAATGAATATAATCAGGGAATAAAGCTGCTAGACACTAGCTAGATCTCCATGTCAATGCACAAGAAAATAGCAATAAAAAAAAAAAAGGAAGAACAAGAGAAAGAACAGAGGGCTCACACGTGGGGGCGGGAGAGGATCGTAGGATCGAAGCGGGGAGATAGGCACGTGCGAGGAGGAGGGAGGAGGATGTGGCGGAGGGAGACGCATCGGCACGGCGGAAGACCTCCTCTGCCTGGCCATCCTTTTCTTCCTTTGAACGGTCCCGAAAGAAGTGGTAACGGCAGCGACAAGGCCCAGGTCTCGGATGGGAGGAGGACCCGACCCGCGATTAATGTGGGTGTCTGCTGGTACGGCGACAAGGGCAAGCTCAGCGTCAACACCTGCCATGAAGGCAGAGGCCTCGTTTTTGCGAAGCAGCTTCTCTCCCTGATCCATCATCATTAGCTTAGGGTTTTCCCCGCCAAACACCACAACTCACAGTGGGTGCTTTTGGTTTCTGTGATACTGTAGCGCTATCTCTCTCTCTCTCAGTCTCAGTGTGTGTGCAGAGAGTGGATAGACGAGGGGCAATGGACGCTCGGCAATCACGAAATGGCTGTGGGGTTTGGTGTTAAAAGAGTTCAATGGTGGACTCTCTCTCCCCCACCTTCCCCTATCTCCTCCTTTTCCTTTCCCTTGGATTTTTTCTATTTTTGGCAACCGTTGCTGTGATTACTCTCCCTGGTTTTCATGACATTTGTGCCTTCAGCATTCACGCCCCTCTCCCCCTCTCTTCCCCCTTCCTTTTACTTTTACCACAGACACGCACATAGAGATACAATATAATTCCCTCTTTCGCCAGATTTTTATCCCTAAATGGGTTATGGGTAATGGGTTAGTCTCAGATCAGAGTGGTGCGAGGAGTGCCAAATGTGAAACTCGCATTGACGGCCGCGCATTGCCCTGCCTCTTTCTTTGGTTGCCTTGTAAAGTAATAAAAGAGATCGTGTGGGTTCGGAAGTGAAACCAGGGTTAAGAGTTGGGTTGGGTTGGAGCATGGCAGGGTTGGTGCTGTGAATATGGTTTTGGAGAGTGGCCAAGGAGGGAGAGACGGATGGACGATGAATGGAGACGAAAGATGGACGATGAAGAGAACGTCCAGGTGTAGCAAAAGTTCTGAGTCTTACAACAGAAATCAATGGCGTTTTTGGCTTTGTATTGGACTCTCCGTCTTTCTTTCATCTTTAATAAAACGAAGGAGGGAGGATGCTCTGTATTTGAAACCAAGTGCATGGGAAGACACAAACTGCCATAATTGGCTTCGTTCGACTGCGCGCAACCACTCGGAAACTTGTTCATGGACTCTCTGGTTTTTATCGGGCGCGGTATGCTCTATGTGAGCAAGGTGGGATCGCCTTGAACTATTGAACACGTGGAGGCTGTCCCTGAGTTTACCCTCGCATGATTATAATTTGGACCCGACCGTGGGCCGCGAAGCGAGGTGGAGTGCGCGTTATAGTGGGGTGCGAAGCAGAGTAAAATTGTGGGGATGTTGCTGTTGCTTCCCCTACACTAATATTCCTTATTTATATGGGATGGAGATCATAGCTGGATTCCCAGCCTCGCTCGCGATTCCACCTGGACGCCATGCAGAGGTGGTGGAAGAGGGTCAATAAATGAGGTTACCATCTAATTACCCGGCAATTGCATACTAACAATATAATTTTGGAAAAATAAAAGGAGAAAAGAGGTAATTAAACTTGCAAGAAAATTCAATAGAATAAAATACACACACGGCAACAATTTGGCAAGTTATTAAATTTATAATTTAGCCAAAAATTCTGAATATTAAATTGAATATACTAGTAAGTGTTGGCTCTAGTCAATGGAATTATAGAATGTTTGACTCTAATTTAATCTAGCAATATTGGCTATCTGATTTCTATATATATATATATATATAAGAAAAAAGATTAAACGTAACCTTCAAAAATATGATTTAATTTTATTAAATCTTACTTTAATTGATCTGGAAATTTAAATCTTCCTGGATTGAGTCATCGGATTGTCCCATCTTCCAATAAAGGGCTCATTTATTTTAGTTTATTTTCATAGAAAAGCTACTTATTCTTTAAAAAAAAATCTATTTTGTAATTTTTTATGATGTTTACTTAAAATTTTAAAAATAATTAGAATACAAAAAAATATATATTTCTCATTATTTTAAAAAGTTACTTTTGAGTAGCTTTTGAAGATAATTTGATATAATAGATGAGAAAAAATACTCTATAATAGATATAAGGTCATTCATTAATAGCGATATTTTTTTTAAAAAGATAATGATTATATCTCAAAAGACTAAAAATGCTTTATATTTTTTAACATCTAAATCTTCAAAAAATGTCTCACATTTTTAACTGAGGGAGTAATTATTTTTTATTATTGTAATTAAACATAAAATAATATATATTTTTTTATAAAATATTTACAAATTAAATTTATTTTTATAAAATCTCTAAACTATTTAAAAATTATTTATTTTTTAATCTAAAATAAACGAGCGGAAAATCCGTTGGACTTGGTAGCCAAAAACCTGTTTGGTTTAATTTGCTAAAAAGATGAGGTGAGATGTGTGGAAATGAATCTGAATTTGATCACATCTTAATTGATCTCAAAACTATTTTGATGTAAAATTGTATTCGCGCTGATTATTTTAAACATTTAAAAGATGCCGCACTCACAC